AGAAGGAGTCTGGGTCATGGCGGAAGACCTGAAAGATGGTGTTATACGCATTTGGCGTATCGGGCGATGAGAGTTGAGAGCAAAAGTAATGAGCGTCTAATGACGCCTGTGGGAAACTCTCACCGCCCTGGGCGCCTGGCTTATCCTCCAATAAGCCTGCTACGCTAGGCTTATCCCGGATTTAGCTAGACATATCACCTTCTTCCATACGCCAACTCTTTGCAAAATCATCTCGTTCATGATCATTACACGAAACTAAGCTCGGCGGGCATTTATCACTGTCAATGTACACGTTTTTGCGTCTTTCTCTCTCATGGGATTTCAGATTTCTGAAAAGCATATGCATAAGACATGCATAAAAGCCGCTTCTTCTGGAGGAGGAGTTTTGCAGGAAACCTGGCATAAACCGGGGTAGCAGATCAACGCGTTGGAAAATTCTATGCTTTCTCGTACAATCACCCGCAATTACACAATCCCTCCATGGCCACATATGAACTTGCACGAACTCGAATTCCGGAAACCACACACATGTATGGAATACCTAATACGCAGCTGGAAGGAAGGAGTAAAGTTGGATGTTTGGAAGGGTATGCAGGCAGGATAGATCGAGAATGGACGGACAATAGATCAATGCTCCTCCTCCCCTAGTTAACACGCTCTCTCCACCTATCTGCTAGCTACATGCGCCGGGACTCCGAGCATTTTCTTGCGCTTCCTCAGAACGGACCAAAGGTCCATGTTATGACCATCCGAGTTGTTCCAAGTACATCGGATTTTGAAGCAACGAAAAGCGGGCAAGTCTCAGCGGCACTGACATGTATAGCATTTACTCCTACATCTATTGCATTCCTACGCCCTGTGCCTGCTCGATTTCGGTAAAAGCGCCGGCGGTCTGCGGAGGGGCTATCGTGCTACATAAACAATTTCAACTATCTGAGTCTCTAACAGGGCCAGGCTTCAAAGCTCAACAATGTCAAGCGACTTCTGGGGATACTTCATACTCATCGGCTAGAAATCTTATTCTAGTACTGCTACCGTCTCCGGCATTGCTCTTGCCCCCATGGGTCATTATTATTATAAAGTGCTCCGAATAATAAATGGAGTACATAATTCTGTCAAACTAGGCTGGATTTTGGCTGGATTGGTCGTACTTGCAAGTCGGAACTCAGGACAGGGAATTCAATTGCCAGGAGCGGTATTCATTATGATTCATCCTACGCTCCGTTCATCTGCACTCCTGTTCATTCTACACTCCCGTTCATCCTACATCCCGTTGTATCCATGATTATTACATCCTAGCGTCGCCAGGATTCTGATACTATATTAACTAGGTGAGTCTCAATCGCATATCTGCTCAATCCCCAAAGACAGCTCAGAAGCAGAAGCAAGTAATCATGTTCATTTTTCTCCAACCTCGGCGCCGTTACAGGTCTTCTCTTTCTTGCTCCTCCTCGTTGCGGCTTCCAGTGTAGCAAGGTCTCTCGGTCCATGATGCTCGTACTAGTGAGATCGTCCTTTGTAAGTTTGTTTTATTTTTTTTCCACATTCGAGTTCCGCATGCTTACTGTTCCCCTTTCTTTATCCCACTACTCCTAGGTTCCCTTAACGGTGGTGTGAGTTTTCTTTCTCATTTTTCTTTGCAGAGGTGCTGACCATCGCGCGATTATTGATACTCACAGGAACCTACATGTACGTCGGCTGCTTTCTGTTTGCTTCTATTTCGACTTCCCAATCTTACTCTGACTCGTGGCTTATAATTACTCACCCATGCTTGTTCACAGGTCCTTCAGGATACTCGTGCTGCCCACCGTTTATCGACGGGGGTTATGGAAGGTGAGCAGCACTTAACAGTTTCCGCGACTTTAACTCCGAGTTATTTACTCAACCCTCATTCCACCGCTATACCACAGCTGCTACGAGGGCACTATTTGCATAACCTTGTGATACATGATTCACCGTCCGTCACAACGGACCAGGAGGGGATCGTGAAGGGCTCAAGAAATCGGTCCAGGGTCGATTGAACACTAGAAGTATTACTACTAGCCTTCGGTCATATAGTGATAGATGACTGGATAGTAAAAAAGTCGTTTTATGAGAAGAACAATCCTCCTTCTCCTTCAATGCTGTGCGATTCGGTCCTCGGAGACTCCTTTATTCTGGGTGTGTGTATAACTTGTGACTCTCCCATTCTATAGGATGCTAGGTCGATCATCCCGGTCCAGTAGGGTCCATTTCGTTCCTAGACTATTTCAGCGATTTTTATATGAGATCTAAATGGGGGAACTTGTAAATATTATCGAGAGGCTTACGATCCGAGACTATACAAATTGTAGCTTCACGCTGGTTTATTCACCTTCCCCAAATACTTAGCAACCTGTGCTACATTGCTACTTGCCTCAGTAAAGTCGGACTGAAGTGTAATAGTATCAGTCAACGTACTTTATAGGGCGAGAAGGAGGGGAGAGAATAACAAGTCACTGACGACCCTACACTGCAGTGACCTTCATTTCAAGGAGGGGCGTCGCCACCGGCAAATACTAGCAAATACTATGTGTACATACATGATGACAGCGGGATATCTGACAATTATTGACTACTGAATTCTCACTATGTTGCAGGGCACACGGGGACTACCTTATACTAGATATGTAGACATGTACTATCGAATGAGTGACAAGGTGTCAGCAATAGCCACGAACTAGGCAAGAAAAGACATTGTTTATTGAGATTCTGCATCAGTCTATCGACTCAAGCTTCAGCCTACTGTTGCAGGCCTGGAAACACCGAAAGTCAAGGGGTTCCCAGACTCCCGCCAATGTAAAGAAGGGTGAGAGCACCTACTTAATTAGAAGCCCACATTTGAGCAAAACCCCTCAACGTTTACAAATCGACACATACCCGACTGCACGAACTTCATCTATGCAGAATATGCGGTTCGAATTATCCACTCGTTGTTGCTTTGATGCTTTACACTGTCACCGGCGTTACCTTGCTGTAGGTTCCCCCCCCCCCCCCCCCCCTCCCGGGTCACTTGGAGCCGCAATTGTATCGCTAATGTTGCTTTCAATTTCCAGGCCATGGAGACGATTCGATATCTGCCAAATTCCCGCCCCTTCTTTTTATCCCGAAAATATTGATATTCTCTCTAGCGATGCTCACCCCCTGTGCACTTCCATCCGCCGCGTGTGAGGATTCGTCATGTTGGTCCAGCACTGGGGCTCATGATCACTCGTCGGCATGAACGAGGATCTTGGAGCCCCGAGCTGGATTGTCGGGCATTCTGCAGCATTTTAAATGGTGACTGTGATTTCTACTGTTATTTTCGATGAATTTTCACCTTCTCTACCTATTGATCTGTGGGCCGCTTCTCTCTGTCCATGAGCTATGTATCCCCATTGTCCCTCGATGTCCACCACCCGCCGCTCCTCATCCGTGAATCCTTCATGTTCTCAGATCATTCGGGTCTCTGAATAATGGCGATGAACATGAGCCCTGAAGTTTGAATGCAGCTCTGAGCACTGAAATGGGGATTGTTTCGATCAACTTTCGATCTTTGATTTTCTGAAATTTTTTCTCTTTTCCCCTTTCCACTCTTTTCCTAGCGTGTTTCCCCACATCAGCACCTTTTTTTCTGTCTTAACTAGGGCCATCCCCCACTGGAGACGCTCGGGCTACGCACAGCATAGGCACTGGTCTTGACAGAAAGGAAGCTCCAAAAGAGCGTCTGTATTCGACAGCGCTCTACCTGATCATCACGATCATTTTCGCCTGGTCTCGTCGCAGTCGAATCTAGCCTGGATTCCTGCACCTGAACTTAACCAACCTTTACCTACTGGGAATTAATATATATGGGTTTCACACTGCCGTGTCTCTCTCTCTCGCAGTAAACTCTTAAAATAGCGCCTATAACTCTAGGCTTCCTTTGTACCTAGTGCAAACGTCGCATAACAAGTATAGCTACTTGCTACAACGAACCTTACACTAGAGGCAATGGGTCTCCTTCGTGCCTAATGCAAACGTCGTGAGCCGAGTGGTCAAGACTGCCTGAAGTAGGGGTCTCGATTGCTTGCCACAACGGCGGGAGCATTAGGTGCCCGCAGTGCGCATACAGGCGCTATGCGTGTAATGCGGAACCCGGCTGTTTCGCAATGGGACCTACCATTGTCCACTTCAGCTCCGTTAACACCGGCACGGTGTTCGGATGATCTAGTTGCTCCGTTGGATCTCCAATGGGTACGGCTGGCTCCCCTTCCTGAGATACGGGATCCTTGAACGGAGAATATTGATATTATCGTGACTGCAGCTCACGAGCACTCTACAAAACCTTGCAGCGTCTTTGAGAAGTTTGAAAAAGTGAAAGAATATAGTCGGGACCAAGATTGGGCGCTTCCTTCAGTTTGGCGCTAAGATTAGCCGACCTGATCATCACGATCCATTTTCGCTCTGGTCGAATTCTCCATGGTTTTTAAGTTGTCCACCTTTTCTGCATTCAGCTCCGTCCCCTTCTTTACATTTTGTTAGCTTGAGTTCTATAAAACTTGTTGTGATTAGTTTAAGTCAAATTGCTACTTCAAGATTTCAATTTAAGTTCAATCCAATTCAATTGAAATCCATCAAGCTTATCCTTTCTATTTCAATTAATTACTTTGGAGACACAATCCTTTTGCTATAGTGATGCCATTAGCTGTCTAGTAATCCTTACTTTATGTATGGAAACTCAGTTCTTTAGGTGTTAGGTGTAGGGTGAGGATTCTTTCATACCGCATGAACAATTCCAATGGAAAGAGCATGGATGCGGCAGGGAAACTTCAGTGCTTCAAAATGACAGTAGCCATTGAAAGTAAAAACAAGAGATTAGACGAGCGCATCCACGGATACTTTGGATTAATGAGAAGCTAGTATGTAGAGAGCTTTCCTGGATTCCTGGCTGCAAGGCTCAACACATTGAGGACCAATCGCAAGAGTGTAGGCTGGCAATGAGTCCAACAATCAACTAGAATGGTTTGATGGCGTAGTCGATTATTGCATCTATCTAACATAGATGCTATATAGAAGCTGCCGGTTCGAACCCGGGTCGAATCATATGGGAATGCTGTCCAGGAGGTTCACATTTATTTTATTTTATTTTTCATTTCTTATTTTCTTGTTGCTCCAGCTCCCTGCAATTACATACATACGGTACACAACATCCATCCATCCTGATATCATCCACCCCGCATTTTCTAGAGTGTAGCATGTTCCTCCCGTTCCTCATTTACTGCCTTCCGCCGTTGACGTTCTTCCTGCGCCGCCTCCGACCCCTAAGGTGCGACATACGATGTGCGTCGTGTGGCGGACACATCGGATGCCTCGGATGAATCTGCGGAGACTGAAGCCAAAGTGGAAGAAATTGACCGACAAGGTGGGTGGGATGCAAAGTAGGCGGAGGAAGAAGTGAATGATGCAGTAGCATCTAGCCGCCGGTTCAGAAGCTGAATCCACGCATGTCGCTGGATTCGCTTCCATCTCGAGCAGGACAGAGATCTGGATCTCGAAGTCGCTACATCTAGCAATAGGGATGCGGAGAATGGGGATATAAAGACCTGTGCTCTGTATAGAGGACGACGGTTCGCTGATGCAGACTGTGGGTGACGGTGTCTGGGGCATCGTAGTCCTTGATGACAATGGGTTCATCGTGGTGTTCAAAGAGCCATGAGTGGCGTTGGTGTGGAAGGCGGCGGAACTGGAGGTGGTACATAGTAATGGCTCGGGTTTGCTATTGAGAGACGCAGGTAGCGTGTGTGATCTTGTAAAAGGCTTCAATATGAGCAGAATCTGCGATGTGTTTCTGCATCGAAGAATGATCGTCTCCAATTCCAATATAATCACTCTGTAGCCTTGGCTTTCAACGTCAACAGCGTAACCGCGTCCATTCAAACACTGTCGGCAGTCCTGCTTCTCCTCCTTCATCGCGAGCTCTTCCTGTAGGCTCGACTGTCGAACCCGAAATTCGAAGGCTGTCTTCGTGGTCCGGTCAGGATTTCGGATTTCAAGATTCGTAAGAAAAATGTTTGACTATAGCCCAGGAGGGTAGCATGAACGATTGGATGACCTGCGAAGCAGTACAACGGACGGTGAAGACCGGGTGGATTTAGAAGAAGAATGGGAGGGTGTAGTGGATTAGCGAACATTCGAAAACATAAAAAACGACACAGAAAAAGTAGACGGATACCCGCCAAGAGAGGATGGTGAAAACCCAAATTCACTAGATCGCTCCATCCAAACCACCAACCAAACCTCCTCAAATGCTACCGAGAACAAACGAAAGAAAGTTTATGGCTCACTTCAAATAACGGTGAACTTCGACTCTCCACTAACGCGACACCTTCCTACTTCTCATCCCAGGCTTCACCGCCTAAGGTGGCCGGATCGTGTTCGCAAAAGAAGATGTTGGCAGTACCAGTAGGAGGGTAGGAGTGCGCGTTGAGGTCCGCATGAATACGTTGAGGTGACAGATAACCCTTGAGCTAAGAGTACTGTCGTTCGCTGTTAGTAAAGAGAAAAGTCGGCACTACGTAGATGTAGATAGTGAGAAACAGGCGAAAGACTTAGGAGACAAAGAGACTCACCTAAGTAGAAATCCACGGGTCAAAGTGACAATGACGCTACCCGATACTGCTTGTGTCCCTGAATCCGCTTCTTCCCAATCCGTTCAGATCTTCCACCTACTCGAAGCCGTTTGGTTCCTCTGCCTATGGCCTGGTGTATTCCCTGCTAAGGACTCCAGTAACGAAGGGGAGAAGACGTCCAGGAAGACGAAAAAGGTTGACCGTGGTGGTGATTGGGAAGGACAGAAGATTTGAACGACGACATGATCATTCAGAAGTGCTGATTCGAACAAAAGTACAGTCAAATCTTTGGCCAGAGTCTTCGTCGAATTGATTTCGTTTAATTTACTTGGCCAAGCTACAGTCACCGGGAGCCTTGCATCTTGATTTTTTTAGTGAATGTATAAAGTGAATCGTGTTGATCTACCTCTACAAAACCTTGACACGTCTTTGAGAAGTTGAAAAAGTGAAAGAATATAGTCGACCAAGATTGGGCGCTTCCTTCAGTTTGGGCGCTAAGCTAGTCCGACCTGATCATCACGATCATTTTCGCCTGGTCGAATCTCCATGGTTTTAAGTTGTCCACTTTCTGCATTACAGCTCCGTCCCCTTCTTTACCTCCGTTAACAGCGGCACGGTGTTCGAATGATCTAGTTGCCCCGTTGGATCACGGCTGATTCCCCTGAGATATGGGATCCTTGGACGGAGAATATTGATATTATCGCGACTGCAGCTCACGAGCAACTTCAATATGATTGCAGTTTTGCAGCTCTGACATCTGTTCTTTCTTCCTATGATCTTTTTTTTCTATCCTCTCTGAGCCGACGTAGAGTTTCGTGGTACGATTTTGCACCGGCGTGAAGCCTTGGCATTCGTCCGTTATCTACTTAATACTCACAAACTTGGACGTACGTGTCATTTTCACCAGGACCTTTCCCCCTACCTCCTTCGAGTACGTTCAGAACGAACTCTGTTCATATCGACTGTTACATGTGTTGCATCGAGGTTGTACATTTCCATGTGAAGGCCTTTTCATTCCTGTCCACTTTTCATGCTCCGCTTGCCTTTCTGTCGTGAATCTAGAATAATGACTCTTGTTTATAGACTAGGTTCAACCATTAACAAATACAGCTTGGATTTCCTCACATAAACGCATATTTTTTCCAAGCAAAGTCGCTTTCTTCTCGTGAACGAAGTTTGACAATAGTGAAGATCAAAAATAGGTAACAATGGCGCTGATGGGTTCTTAGATCCTAATGGTCTAAGACAACATTACCCTGCCGGAGTGAGTCGACTGTTTGCCACTGAATGGATAGGTGAGTCTCCGGCCACTTTTCGTCGATGAAAAGCCCGCAGTTCCTTTTTTATATCATAGTAGATTCATTGTCATTCAGATCTTCAAAGAACCTCGAAGCCAGCGGGGCAATAGATGGGAAAGCCATCTGAGAAAACCTCCTTCTCAGCTGCGACGGGCTCTCTACATCCCTTGTGGGAGAGAATACCTACTTTACTGGAGGAAGTACTAGCGGGTGTGGAGCACTTGCTGCGACTGGTGAAGCGGTGAAGGTGCCAGTATAAGATGCAAGTTGACTTTCGAAATGGATCAAAAATCATATGGATGATGATTCTCGAAGCGTTATGGCGGTGACCAAGATGGATCGGAGTGACTGTCCATCTCCTATGAACTGGCTGACGTCGTTTGGACTCATTCCGTATTTGTATCAGACACGGATTTTGAATCACTTTGTTGCTCCGCGACTGGTCCGACTGGCTGGCTGACCAAGATCATAGACCGACTGTTCGTTCCGTATACTAGGATGGCTCCACAGTATCAGACACAGATTTTGAATCTCTTCTTGTTCTGCGGCCCGCCTCATACTAATCCGAATGCAGAAACAACCATTGACTATACCGGAACTATGTCTCGAGTTTCGACACTCAAAGCCGTTGCGGAACGACCCAAGTTCAACTTGTTCAAACCAGGTACAATTGGGAAGCCCTTTCACAGTTTGACATGCTGCTTATGTCGACCACACACGCTCCGCTCAAAACAGGTGTTTTGGAGAATCTCGACAAGCTCGTGGGGAAGACGCGGTTGTACGGGCATTTATCACTGTCAATGTACGTTTTCGTCTTTTCTCATCATGCCCTTGTTTCCCTGTCTTGACAACTCGAATCATCGTTTTCGGTAGGATCGCAGGTACTGATGGTATGCATGAGACGTCCATACAAGGTCGCTTTTGCTTAGGAGGGATTGTATGCTTTTGCGTTGAGCTAGAAAGATAGCGATCTGCTGCCCCGGTTTATTACAGGCTCTTCCGCAACTTCTCTCCATGTCACATACGAACTTTCTGGATCTCTAGGCTCGGATATGCCCGCGGTATACGGCTTGTGTCGAGCCAACTGATGTCATCGAGCGCTAGAGCTGCAGGCGATGCGTCCTCTGCGAGCAGTAGTACTTAATATGAAACGCAGTAAAACATAGGACATGAGCCATGTCTGTCGGAAGGAAGAAAAAATAAGTTTTGATCTAGACATTTGTGAGAGATGCTGCGCGCGAGAGACAAGGACGCAGCAGCATAGACAACATTGACACATAGTACGTCCTCCTCGAATTTCGAATACAGTCGGAGCGATTGGTTGAGCTTCTTCTTCTAAACCGTCAACATCTTCCATCCAGACGTTAACCATGCTGACAAATGAGCATAAGATATAGTACATAGTACAAACTAAATCAAACTTTGGCAAAGCAAGTTGCCGAAAGGATGTAAATTTTAATTGCATTGGTCCCATGCATGCTCACCGACCGCGATTTTACATTCTAGTAGTTCAGTCAAAGCAGAACTCTTCAATTTGCTTGCTAGAGCAAGTGAATTCGATTCCGACTTCTTTTATTCACCTACGTTGTAAACATAACTGACAGTTTAAAACAAGCTCACCGGAGTTTGTATAAAGTTTTCCTCCGCGTTTCGGAGCCATTGAACTCGGGAGCCAAAGCAACTTCGACTCACATTCAACATCTGCATTCTCGCTGTCGGCGATCGATACCCCTGCCGTGCACGCATGGAACCAATGTGGTTGAAACTATATCATCGCTGCTTGAAGTTGCAGAGGATTGTCTTTCCAGCATCCTTTCCTTTTCGTCTTGCAACGCTACAAAGGACTCCACCGTAACCGTGTTCGATGAACCATCCCACTGAAGCATTCACAAGGAGGCAAGTTCAATCTTTTTTTTACTTGACTACAATTAATGGATGTATATTATATCTTGTAGTAACTCAGGATACACTCCAGTTTCTCAGTACAACTGAGCACAGAAGGAACATCAGACTGAAAATATTAGGTCAGTTTGATCAAGTGATATTTCGCTTCAGTGGACGCTTGGTCATTAAGAATGATATCTCCAGGAGCTCGAGTGCTACTCTTCAAGAGCGTGAAGGGCCCAGACATGATGATACCGATGCTTCTAAAAGGTATGACTATAATATGTTTATT